AGCAGCAGCAGCAGCAGCAGCTCTAGGGCCAGTGGTCAGACCTTGGGACAGACTTTGACCTAATTCATCAGCAACGACATGACCGATGCGGCGACATAGACGGGGCGCGGCTTAAGCAGACCCCCTCCGACCCATCGACCAATCCCAGGCTTCATCTGTCTGGACACATCACACCCTCTCTCTCTCTTCCTCCTCCTCCTCCTCTTCCACCTCCTCCTCCTCGTCTACTTGCATATTCTCAGGAGAGGCCAGAAAAGCAAGCCATGCAGAAACAAATGTTAAGATAAATCGCAGTACGAGCGGCTCTCACATGCGCTCCCCCAGTGACATTTCCATTTCACTCCTGCAGCCAGTGCATCCGTCTTTTCTCTCTCTCCCCAAAACATCTCAGCATCTTTATATCCACCATTTCATGCCAGACAATCTGCTTTAGACCATCTCTGCGTCCTGTCACAGGCCAGCAGAGGGTTTATTAGGCAGTGAAAGGTTTTCACTTATCTGAGACACAGTATCAAGACATTTAAATAAAACAGTAATATAGGGGGTTTGATAGATTAAAAAAGTCAGCAATGCATGGACTTTCTCTTGATTCTATTAAAACAAAAATGGAAAAGAAGGAGGCATTCATCTATTCCAGTAGTTCTCTCATCTCGATTTAAAAAACATGGGTAGAATGGTGGACTTTGGGCTACTACCTCAGTAAACAAAACAATTGCCAGGCCTAAAATATCTTGACATAAAATGGAATACGTTTGAATGAGGATTAACCCAAAGGAAGACAAACATATATTGTGTAAACTAGCTCTATTCAAACTGAATTAAATGCATAACCTTTATGAATAAAGTAATACTAATAAAACATAACAGAACTCCCCATCTACCATTTTATGCAAAGCGATGTGCATGCCCCGCTCGGCCCCTTTGGCAGGGAGCAGACAGCAGTGGCTTTGTGGGGCCGCCCTGTGGCGTGCAGGAGAGGGGGCGCTTCATGCTAACTTCTCATTTGGATAATGAGCTGCGATCTTGGCAGGATCTGTGCAGCGCTTAGTCCTTCTCGAATTCTCTATCTCCCAACCTAGCAGAGACCATATAAAATAGACCGAACGCACTGGAGACGATGGCTGCACCGATCGACCTGGCTGACAACATGTAAGAATGTAATAATAAACGCCATATACACGTGTGGCCTTTGCATCTATGAATAATGCATGTGTTATAGAGCGACGTCGCAATGACAAGCGAAGACAAACACATTTCTCATTGCTGGAGGTGCTTTCGCAGAGCTGACATCATCACCTTACTTGTCTCTGTCACAAAAAAAAAAAAAAACATATACAAATTGTGGTATACCAATGTCAGGCACAGGGATGGCTGTTTTATTCTGCAAAGCCATTACTAGAGATCTGTGAAGCTCTTTCTTTCATCAATGAGTGACAATGTGCTGTCTACCACAATTTAAAGTTTTGCTAGCACAATTTAATCTTAATGATTCATCTATTTGAATGGATTTGAGAGTCAGTTACACCAATATACCACTTTGTTACTGGCATTACCTCATGCCACCTGCAACCCACAACCGGAACAGTGACTCACTGAAACAAAACCAATCACAATCCAAGCCTTGTTTTGTGTTACCACTTCAAACACGTTTCAAAGATAATAATGGGAGTACAAACACAAAGTAGTCAGAGAACAGGTGCTTCCTACAGTATACAGCATCCTCTCGCTCCGGCAGCAGGAGAAACTGCTGACTGTGGGTGAGTTCACGAGGGCTTCTGCCCCTAAATCTCACTTCCCATCAAACGCACTCATTACTTTGTGTTGAGCTGTAAAACAACACAGTTGGGGATGGGACTTTCCAACACTAACAGTTTTGAATCAGTAAAGCTCTTTCATAGGCACAGTAAAAATCATCTTTGTATACATTTCATTATTTTTATATGAATACAAATATTGGCCTACACTAGGTATGAGTGCTGAAATACTCTAAAAGTGATTAAAAAATAGCAATAGTCAGGTCCTGTCATGCCAAAAACACATTTGGAAATATGCAAAACAAACCAACCAAAATAGGTTTTCAAGGTTGTCCACTTTTCGTTGAATTTCTGTGGGGTCTAGTCTGTTTTTTAATTAATTTCTTAAACCCAGTGCTGGCTCACGCAAGTGCAAAGAAATGTCAACACGGCTTGTTCCTGCTTACCAAACAATTTAAGTGCTATAATCATTAAATCTTTCTCCAAGTACTTCCCATGATCAGCAGAACATTTCTTATAACCATAACCTCGCCAAAACCTAGTGCTATTTCTATGATCAAACAAGGAATAGCGCACACAGAGTCAGTACACTTGTACTACAGCGTGAGTCAAGGTTAAAAACGTCAATGTCAGTTTGTTTGGCTTATTCAAAAGAGTAAACAAAGGGAACTTCCACATGATAATCCGCCCCGGTCCTATCATTCAACGGTGATAATGCTATAATTGTGAGGTTATCTCAAAACAAAAGGTCATTCTCCAAGACTTTAAATTCTATGGGAAGAAGATGGAGGTTGTGACACTGATTTGCTTATGAGAATGATGGGAAAATAGTGATTATCAAAATGAAAGGCCTTTTTTGTTGTCTGGGGTGAGAGAAGTTCTTGGGGTCTGACCACATAAATTAAAGCTCTTTCTGTGGTTTTCTGCATTTTAGTACTTCCACAAACTTTAATAGGTCTCCCTTTTTGAGAACCACAAGCTGATGTATTAAATGAAAGAAAGTTTGTATCCATCTTCATAATCAGTTGATTAATATGACCTGACAACTCGTCAACTGACTCTCGAGAGAAGAGAACGTGAATGAGTAGAACCCATTATATGTGGCTCATCTCTGTGGCTGTAGCTTTAACTGCCTCCTCCTCATCTGTGAGGATGGATTAAAACAGCAGAGGTTCATTAGTTGGTGACAGTGTAGCTGAGAACACACACACAGAGCTCATGTGAGTTGCCCACAGTCTGTGGCGTCTCAGTGGAGAGAATATCCACAAACTAATTGAAACAAGGTGCTCATGGCTCCTCTGTCTGCTGAGTTGACACTTTTGCAGCTCCTACAAATGTGTGCATTAAAACACTTTGACAAGTACATTGGAATTGGACATTGTCTTACTGTCTGTGTGCGTTTGTGTTTTTTACCAGATACAATAACATTTCTGAGAAACAAAGAGTACCACATTGTCTTTTTCACTGAGGTGTAACTTGATGAGGTTCCACATTTACTATAGTATAATATAAATCATGTAGTATGGAGCAATTTTTTTCCAGAATCCTTGTTAACACAGTTCACATATAAAAAAGAACAATGCCTCAGGTCCACCTGCTGTGAGTCAGAGTCTGGTCGCCATGACCACCACTGGTCTTTGCTTCATTATGAACTGGATGTGGTGCCATTGCACTACACTTTACAAACTGAACACATGTTTAACTGGCACAGGTGATCTGGGCTGCTCTCTCTCCTGAGCAGCACTGTTCTGGGTACAAATGAGCGCTCTTAGCTCTGTGAGTTGTTGAACAAATGTAGTGTTGCAGCTGGTGCTTCCTGCCCCTCTGCGGAGAACACTTATCAGGAGCTGGGAGGCGACTGCTGCAGCCTTGAACCTCTGCCAGCAGTGGGCTCTCTCACCTGCCACTTGTGCAGCCGGCCTGATTCAGGCTGGGGACACACAAAGATGCTCTTTGAAGTTAATGAAGCATCAGCATTCTCCATCTCCAACACCAGGGCATTATGCACAGCTAGTGTCAGGGACGATTGGATAGCTTCAAAGATTGAGCAGGAAATATCCTTTTCACCATCAAATTCACCTCCACCTCAACTATATCGTACTTGAGTGATCAACTTTGCAGCGTGGAATCCATAAAACCACAATTCATTAAAATGAAACTTACATACAACAACACAAAAAACGGTTTGTTAATTTCACAATGCAATGGAAAGGGAAAAATAATACTAGTATATATAAGGGTATATAAGCCTCTTTCTACATTTTCTGGTAAGGTCAGACATTTACCAAATAGACCAAGCACGAAAGCACTTGAGCTCAAAGCAGCCTTGCATCCTTGCTTTGTGAGACCTCTAATATTTCTATCAGCGCATACTTAACCCTACACTTTTCACACTAGTAATAATGACATCACATCCCACAAAGGCTCTTTGTCCTATACAGTTACATGGCAGAGGAAGGAACACACAAAAAGCAGTAAGCTTGGGCTGAACGTGATAGCGCAAAGGCACAGCTGTTTGGTTCACACAGCGCACAGAGTTCTCAAAGACACAACATGAGTCAACATGCAAAGCAGTGCAAGTTAGAACACCCCCGCTTCCCAGAATCCAGAAGCACCAAGCAAAACTGACAACGTCCCAACACTGAGCAGCTGTCCCCACTGATCTCCACAAATACAGAAATGTGAGATGGGAAATTTCTATTATTCTTGTTTTTCTTTTTTGATCGACCACAATGTGTGTGCCAGACGTCCAGTGGAAGATGAGGGAACTTGATCAGTTTTGGTCAGCATTTTGTTTTTTACCGAGAAGCAATAGAAAGGACAGAGCAAAAAGAAACAAAGGCTGTTTTGAAATGTGAGTGTGACGCAAGCAACCGATAATCAATACAGCGCCTTCACCTCAAAACCACACTTTTGTTCAAGCTATTTTAAGGAACCGATCATAAGCATGCTTGTTTTCCCTCCCACAGACATAGTTGCTTCACTGTAGCGTGGGCTGGTCTATAGGGCAATATTCAACGTTGTAAAACCAGCCACGTTTTCTAATATTGACTTCATAACCTAAGCGGTACATTGCTCAACAATCTCCAAAAAAAAAAAAATTGATTCTTATTCTTATAATCTTGCATTCTTTACAGTCATGTGGCAGTGCAGTCCGAGCGGCAGAGGGCTGGTGTATTGATATCGGTTAGAAATGTTAGTAAAAGCTGAGAACAGGCTGCGGAAATAGCACAAGAATCGTTTTACCTGTGATGTTGACGTCCACGATGCCGGTGCGAGTCCCAATGCCGTTTGTGGCATCACACACGTACGTTCCGGCCAAGTCATAACTCACGGGGCCCTTGAAGAACAGGGTGTTGTTTTTGATTTCCACATTGTTGGACATGGATCCGTTTAAACTGGGGGATAAAAACAACAAAACAAGGAAAATACATTGTTAAATAGGAAGAAAATACACACACACACACACACAGTCCATTTCTTTGGATGTGAAATGCTTTGTTGTCAGCCACATTCGCCTGGACCTTCAAGTTTGTTTGATATCAAAAGTTCCAGAGAGATGTGGTTGCTATGGTTGGAATGTTTTATGGTATAACTTTAAAGCTGGGGTACAGGAGTTTCAAACCACACACACAATTAAAGTAGTACTCACTGGTTCCAGTTTGGTTTGGTCTCTACTTTCCACATGTTCTATATATGTCATAGAAATCAGAAAGTTCTCAGCCCAAAGTGTCAAATTGTGACTCACACGGCTTTCTCATATGTAAAAGATCTAATAATATCAAGACAGCAAGTTGAGTCTGATTCATACCGTAGATTTACATATTTTTTTAAATTACTGTTACCAGACTATTAAGTCTGGGGACAAACAACATAAATTATTGATGAGAGGAGGAAGCAAATTAGTTACCCTACCTTTAATTGGAATATACAGAATGTCTTCTTTACAATAAAACATATACATCTTTGGACGCACATAGATACTAAAGTATTAAAGGAAACAAAACAATATTTGTATAAGGCTTGATTATGACTGTTAAAAAATACATTTTTGCATCACAGTCCAGTGGCATAAAGACAATGCAAATAAAAAAAAATAAGGAGGGGAGCCCATGCATTGGACACCATAAAAAAACAGTCTGGGGAAAAAAAAATGTCTCTCTCAGGAACAGGGAGAGATTCACCGCTGCAGAAAAACAGCATCTCAAGATAAATACCAGAAATATTTGACAGCGCTATATTTCAGCCATCATCCATCAAGTCCAAACAAAATTATGGAGGACAGGGAATCCCAGCAGGTCCTAACAGGTAAGGACATTCGGAATGCCTCAACTCCCTTTTCAGAATACAAAACAGACCCGGAGCCTGGAGACGGAGGCTGCCGTTACCGCTAGCAACCCACAACCCACATGACTGAGCTCAGTTCTCAAGGGAGATGTCAAAAAAAGCAGCTGATCAATGTAGCGAAGAGCAGTGCAGCGTGTTTCTCCAGCCCGAGGTGTTTGTCTTCATGGTTGGGCTATCTTCTCCTGAATTCCAGCTACCTCCTGCCCTTTGATCTGCTCAGCAAACTCTTGAGGTCACGGATCAAGCGGCTACAAAACCTCCGTTCTATTATCTGGACACCTTTAGTGGGGCCCGCGAGCTGAGGAGGATCAAATTTCACATCAATTAGCTGTTTCCTTTGGCTTTTTCACCCCTCCAATATCGTCCTGTGTTGTGATTGTGAAGAGTCTGCATTTTGTTGCAAGAAAGAGAAGCTATAAAGATGGTATAGAAACGGCAAAAAAAAATAAAAAGTCAATATTAGACATGACTTTGGATTGTCTTTTAGGCATGCTTAGCTTAATGGGAGGAATTGTTCAAAAAGGGCATTTTAGTGACATTTATTACAGGGTGCTTGACCTTAAGCACAATTATCAAGCATGCGTGTATGTATATTGAGCAAAAGTTGTCATTTTCTCTCTGAGTGAAGCAAGAGGAAAAAAAAAACTGGGTGTGATATAATTACACTCTAAATGGTTTAATAACAAGTCTCTACACAAAGATTTGATATAGCATTATTAAGCTATTATGAGACTTAGCTTCAATGCCAGTGCTCCAAATAAGCAGTTTTAGTAAAATAAATGCTATGTTGATTATATTTAATAAACGTGGAAAAAAATAGAAGTATCATGAATGTTTATGTCATAATGAGATGGTCTTCACAGTTCTGCATTTATTTTTATTGTATATGGTTGAGATTTAAGGAAGAACTACATACAATCTAATCAACTTTATTTATGTAGCACAATTGAACATTATAGGACACATCTGCAGAGGATCTGATTATGGATATAGGTTCAGTATTTAAATGATTATGGATATAGGTTCAGTATATAAATGATTATGGATATAGGTTCAGTATATAAATGATTATGGATATAGGTTCAGTATATAAATGATTATGGATATAGGTTCAGTATATAAATGATTATGGATATAGGTTCAGTATATAAATGATTATGGATATAGGTTCAGTATATAAATGATTATGGATATAGGTTCAGTATATAAATGATTATGGATATAGGTTCAGTATATAAATGATTATAGGTTCAGTATATAAATAATTATAGGTTCAGTATATAAATAATTATAGATTCAGTATATAAATGATTATAGATATAGGTTCAATATATAAATGATTATGGATATAGGTTCAGTTTATAAATAATTATAGGTTCAGTATATAAATAATTATAGGTTCAGTATATAAATGATTATAGGTTCAGTATATAAACCTATAATCACCTCTGCACCTCTGCACCTTCTCCACCGACTCCCACTGATGACTGCTGTCGTTGTGTCCTTGGGCAAGACACTTAACCTCACTTTGCCTGAAGCCCCCACTGAAAGATCAAGGCTATGCTCACACTCAGAGAGCAGCCGTCCTCCTGTGGACTCACCACCTGCAGAGGGTCAGTGAGGGGCTGGTGCTATGAGACTTGGGTGGCATCTCTGACTGCCACCCCCCTGACCCAGAAATGGATTAAAGGGTAGAAAATGGATGGATGGATGGATATATAAATGATTATGGATATAGGTTCAGTATATAAATGATTATGGATATAGGTTCAGTATATACATAAGTACCTCAGCGCGGATGTTCAGAATTCTTTGTTCAGTTTTCATGAGGTTCCAGAGCCTAATGGAGGCTGATTCGGAGGCTCCGCAAAAACAAACAACTGAGCATGTGCGCAGCTACGAACATGAGCGCCGATGATTGACAGCCCTTGGCATCACTTGATTGGTTAAACTGGACGGCATCATGGATTTTGATATATAGCTAAGAAAAGGGAAGGCGGGACTTACCCGTAATATTAGAATTCATATAATTATTTATTTTATATCAACATTTATGGCCAGGAGGTCAATTTAATACAATTCTTAACATTTGTTCCAGACTATCACTTTATATACATTTTGAATGTTTAATTGAAATTGGTATGTTTTTCAACATGTCTATACAATACTCAATATTGCCATTTTGTATGTCTTTAAAACCACATTCCCCCCATAATGATCTATTTCACGCTCATCGGCCCTCCTCACTCTATAGTGCGATGGTTCAAAGATATCTGTTCGTACTGCGGTTTCAGTGTTTATTGTTTGTTGCAGTGGAGCCAAAAAACAAGACTGGCTGGTGTAAGTCACACTTCAGTAATCCGTTCCCTGGCCTATATCAAATGCTGCGCTCAGTAAAGCCCAATTGATTCCTGCAGAAATGAAAGTCTGACAGAACGCTTTCACACTCGTCCTATGGCGCTTATGATGTCCCCGTTTGAGGGGCCACAGAAACCAGCACGATCTGATGAGGAAATGTTAATATCTACTCATGCAAACACATTATATGGACCGTGTTAGGGGGCTCGCCAAGATGCGCAGAAACAATTTGGAAAAACAAATTGCAAAGTCAAAATGTCAGGCTGAGAATAGAACGCAGACAGTGTAACAAAGGCACAATGCAGCAGCAGCGACTAACTGATTAGAAATAAATTATTAACCTCCCTGACCTCTCTAAGGGGCACATTGTACTTCCATTTGACAAATTAACTAGAGAAACTGTCAAATCTGCGCCCAAAACATGTCACGCGTAAACATAATCATTATCATTAAGAGATGTGGTTTATAAATAATAGTTCCTGATGGCAGAAAGGTGACCGATCACAACTCGCTAATTAAAAGTGCTTTAGACTCAGGCAACTCTTTTCTCCAGTGGAATTCTGAGGTGAAGAGTCTTAAAATGACAATCAATAGGCCATGTATGGAGTGTTTTACAATTAGAGGTATTGACGGCTATTCCCTTAGGATTTGTTCAGAATGTCCATTAAGATTGATCCTACAGTCTTTACACACGGCCAAGAGCTGGAGACAACATCGTTTAACGTACATTTGTAATGATACAGACCTATTTAGAATGAGAATGAGTCATGATTTGGACCATGCAAAACAAGATAAAACATATACGTGTTCAATGTATGTACAATTTGTTCCCTCAAGGTAAATTACTGGACTGGATAAGAGTGCATGTATCAATAGTTTTAGTGGTCTTGCTTAATATGTATTTATTGGGATTTATTTAAACAGGAAAGTCCCACTGGTATTTCAGAATCTTTTTTTCAGGGAAGTCCTGGCCCCAGACACCGGGGGCGATTGGGGGATTACGGGAGACTATTGTACATGTTTTTAGTGGTAGGGGAATGAGTAGCAGCATTTGGCGCAGCGCTCTGTTGGGTGTGATATCGTATATATCCTGGCAGATTGGCATCAGGCAGGTGTGGGCCATCAGTTAAAGGGAGGTGCGGAGGCGGACTCGCTGAAGGGGTGGAGGCGGGGACAAAAGCTGGGACAAGACCCATGACAGTATTATTATATTATTATACAGTATTATTATTATTATTATTATTATTGGGGCCATAACAAGTTAATGGATTAATCGCTACTAATTGATCATGTGATTTTTGAACAATACCTGGACAAAAATATTGATTAGTTATAATTATTACAGAATTTATATCTCTTTATTTCTAATCACACAACCAAGTAAGTTACATAGTCTCAATGAAGACTATGGCCAAATGAATTTAAAAAAACAAAACAGACCGACTTAAACAAAAATTGATGAATTGAAAGAATAGTCACCCATCATCTACTTGTATATCAAAATAATCATTACTTACAGCCCTCATTATAATGCAACAAGCGAAAAATGTGTCTACAGCGAATCAGTATGCATCAGTTGTGAAATATCTGGTGGTTTTGAATTCCCTTCTCTGTGATTTGTATGTCCCAGATCAAACATTACAGTTCAAATATGTGTGTTTTCTCATTGTTTGAACTGGAGCAGTGTGCTGTCCCCATAGACCTATCTGCAGTATTTGCCTAACCATTGTCCTTTTAGCTTTTGGCTGCGGCTGAGTGTGTCTGTGTGAGTTTTGGCGTGACGTAATGCGGCCGGCTCGATCTGGATGGCTCCGTCACAGCCTTGTGCTGACCTCCACAGAGCAGCCCAGGGGAACCTTCACAACACATTTGGCTTCTCATTTTCATTGCAGCCATGGCCGTCCCCTCCGATCTGTCAGCGCGGCGCTCTATAGTCTTTCTATATCACGTCTCCCCTCCCCCTTTTTATCTCTGATCTGCCTGAATCTACAAAAACACACAAATATCCACTATCTTCTCTGTTTTGCTCGCTTGTAAATCAGAGCTTTCAAGTTCTAGAAGCAAGGGAGGAAAGGAATGCCTCATTAAAACCCATCCTTGGTCTGTAGAAGTGATTCTGCGTGGGCACAATGGTCTAATTATGGTCAATATTATATTATAACACTTTATCTCCAAACGTTCTTTAATACCAATGATATGTGAAGTAAGTATGTCTTTCATGCAATAAGGTTGAAAACTGTTATTGTCACCAAAGTGGTATACTTTACTCTGCTTTGGAACAGGGTTGTAACATGGGATTTCAAAAAAACATTTGGTGTTTTGAGCATTCAAACATGTAACAACAATATTTCTGCAGTTCTTTAGCTAACATCCATGCTCAAGAATCATCGGTAGAGACTCATTTACCACTGGGCCTTAATGATTGTGAGAAAAAAGACCACGCATTCACAATTATTCCCATTTGCGGGTCAACATAGCTTGTCAACAGCATCACATTCAACATCACGCAACTGCTATAATTGGAGATTTGATGACACTTCGAAGCAACTGTGGTTAAAGTTAAACTCATAATTCTAACAATATGCACAAGGCAGTACTTTTCCGCTACATGTTTTGGTAATCTCAAGGCCGAAGCTGCCAGCACTGTGGCAAGTGCTGAGTGGAGGTCTCCATTCCTCCACTAGTTCAATATCACATGTATTCTGTAACATCTTATTTTGCGCTTGTCTACCATCGACAATAAAACATGTCTTCTGTCTGTCAACTTGATCCAGATGATTGTCATTTTCTTCAATAACATGACAGTTACCTTTATCTAAACACAGAAGAGCATTTCTAAGATTAAGAGGCTTGTGTTCAAGTAGTTAGAAAAGTGTATGAAGTGTGTGATGATGGGTTTTACATCCATAAAACATAGCTGCTTGTTTGTAGGTTATTTTGAGAACACAACCCCCGCGATAAATAAGGGACCACTGTATATCGTCATGGACTTCTTGGCACATATCGCCAAAGAGCGGGATAATGAGGTACATTTGTTTTTATTTGAAACAACATCAATTTGTTTGAAATTACACACATTCTACTTATTGATCGACTAACACTTGAATTAGGCTGAATCTAGCAGAAAGTCAAAAAATTGATTCAGTAAACTTTTAACACTGGTTTCAAGGGAAAACCATGTGTCATACTTACATATCATATTGTGAGGAGCTTTGAAGATCCAGCACTACTGTGTCCGACCAAACAATGAGGATTACAGGGTTTTCATCTACACTTGTGTAACAGACTCAGTATGTGTCTTAGTTATCATGACTAAAACAGCAGGTTTGCCCTACTTTGGAAAAAAATACTTACAAGGACTATTGGTGCAAATTGTTACATAGAAATACATTTTTCTCATATCTGCACCTTGTTTCAATCTACATTGTGTCTTGCTGGTTTCATAAAGTGACAAAATCTCTTTATCCCTCCAAGGTAAAGATTCTTCAAATAACAAAACTGACCTTTGCAGGATTTTGTTGGATAAAAAAAATCTATATTTATCAAGGAACTTTTCGTTGATAGCATTTCTCAATAACATTGTCAGTTTCGACAAATGCCACTTAAGCCTCTCTTTATACGATGTCCTTCCTGCGCCATTACTTTTTTGCATTACCTCATTCCTGTATGGTCACTTTGTGTTCCCGTAACACCAACCAAACATCGTTGAGGTTATTTACTGATTGCACGGTCATTGAAAACACATTTGTATATCTTTCACGCACACGCAATGATGTCAGGGCCGCGGTATGCTGCTCAAACCTCACAAATACGGCCCTCCACTCCTGTGATGTGTCAGGGACTAAACCACTGCATTCACTGCCCTCCGGAAAACACAACCTCACTAACAATGATGCTTTTATAGTCGACTATACCTGCATACCTGCACCCGGACTTCAAAGGAAAAGCCCAGAGCAAAAGATTTCTGTCTGCATTTATCACTGTACTGTATCTGGCGAGATAGTAGTGTGTGCTGTAGCTGCAAGGGAACTATTGTGCCAAGCCCCTGGACCTTAGCTTATCTTCATTATAGGTTTTATACACAAAACAAAAAAGAGTGAATGGAGACAGATTCTGGAGTGGGCGAAAAAGCAAGATCTTGGACACAGGATCCAAACTGTGAGGCGTAAAATGAGACTTAGCTTTACCGTAAATGTGTTACAAAAATGGTCCTGTGCGCTCTAATGTGTGTGGAGCAGTGAAAGCCTCAGGGCGTGTGCGGCTTAGTGCGACTTACAGCTTCCACTGGTAGATGGTGACAGGAGGGTTGGCGTCGGCTCTGCAGGTCAGCTGCACGTTCTGACGGTTCAGGTACCAATTCCCATCGAAGCCCTCAATCTTCACCTCAGGCTCATCTACAAACCAGACAGCTCATGTCAGACCAGCCAGATACTGTATGTTATCTGCTATGATGCATATATAACATGAAGACATATAGGACTGTTCAAAATACAGTATTATAGTTTAACACACTAACACTAAAAGGATACGTTACATTCAATACAACTAGAAGACCTAGCATATGTCCCTGCTTTTTGTGGGTTTTTCCATTTTCTGTGTGAAAAGGATTTATCATTATTTATATGCATACGATGGCTTGGGTGGAGTAACTCACAAGCCATTTTCTAAGTGGATCTAGAAAAGCAGTATGATTATTTTTTTAAGAACGTGTGATGATGGTGAATCATACATGTGTCTCAGATGAGAAACACTGGGCCTGCTCTGGTGACAGTGACGGGGGGACTATCATCCAGAATGAATTACCAGTGGTCATTATGCTTTAATCTAAATCTCTAACTACACTTTTTATGCAGACTGTGTAACCTTTTAGGGCTGGGATTTTCTCATTTTTAGTTCCTTATTAGTTCCTGATTTTCATATGCATGTATTTTTGTGGTTTTTTGCTTTCGCTTTGCTCACAAAAAAATAAGAGTACACACTTATTCAGCCAATCTGCTTTCAGCCTAAATTGTAAAATAGTGACTTAAAAGACAATGGAAAATACCACATGTTTTCTAAGACACAAACAGACAGATTAGATTTTTTCACCAAATGTTATTTTTACAAGAGTCTTTCTACTGAGACAAACAAAGTGTATTATTAAACCAATGAAAAAAAAAAAAAATAATAAAGGTCTAGTAGAGTGTGGCTTAAAATAAAACAAATATGCAATAATTTATTTAACAAATTCTAATAACCTTCTTGAGGCTGGACTTACATTGCACGTTGAGTACCACGCTGTCGGTGATCTTCTCGCTGCGGTACGTCACGATGCAGGTGAGTTTCTGCTTGTGGGTCTCGCGGCTCGGGATCACCATGTAGTTACTCCTGACCGTCACCGTGCCGTTCTGGTTTCTGGACTCCTGGAACGTGGCTTCCCCCTTCAGCCGGGTGTCCCATCTGATGATGCTTGGAGGCTTGCCATTGGCTGATACACAGGTGGCCACAGTGGTCTTGCGTTTTTGTGCCCGAGCTACAATGGTGGGCGAGGTGAGGGTCATGCGGGTCAGTGGCCGTGCTGTATACAAGGAACAAAGAGAAAATAATGATAAGTAAAGTAGTGTAAGTAATAGTAATAGTAATATAATAATAGTAATAAATAGGACCAAACATAAGCCCAGTTGTCTGAAAAAGGGATTGACAGGTGATCAAAATAATATTATTAACTTGACCAACACTGAATAAAGTTTGACAAAATAATTCTGGAAATATTTTGCACCTAATGTTGATTAATGTAACTTGAAAGTTATCAAAGTATCAAAGTTTTGAATCATTTTTAACCATATCTTCTATTCATTGCAGTTTCCCCATATTAGTGCTATGGTGCGACATACATGTAAAAGCCAGAACCAATCAGATTTCTGAAGCTATGCAGGTCAGAACCCATCCTAGTACTGTGATGGGAGACCTTTGGAAACAGTGCCACATTTTTTTTGTGTCCTTAAGCAAGACACTTAACCCATATTGCCTAGAATGTGTCTTGTGTGTGTGAATGGCTGGTGGTGGTCAGAGGGGCTGATGGCATATGCAGGTTACCTCAGTTATGTCAGTGTGCCCCAGGGCAGCTGTAGCTACAAACGTAGTTAATCACCACAATTCGGAGTGAATGAACAATTACATGTAAAGCAGTTTGTCCATAAGTGGACCATAAAAGTGTCCATAAAAGTGCAATTATTATTATCATTATTTATTTGCTATTTTCAGTAAAACTCGTCGGCTAAGCTATTGATTGACGGCCCTAGTCAAATTGACAATTTTTGCCATGACATTTCTATCCCGCACCTGCCGTGTCTCTGGTTTGATCAAAACACTGAATTAGACAAAAGAGGCCTCAGATAAAAAAGATACTCAAATCAGCTTTTGCCTCTCTGCCTTCATCCTCAAAGCAAAGGCAGTTGCCAAAGCTCTCCAAAATGTAGCACGCACTTGCCTACCCAAATGCACACTCATCCTATTTGAATCCTTTTGTGAGATGCCAATTAGCAATCTACTTTTTAATACTTCAAACGAAAGGGCTTCAGCTTAAGCAAGTGCACGAGTGAAGGAGACAAGGATAAGAAGAAGGATTTTGAATACACCAGCAACGGTGATCTGCACTGGCTGAAATGCAGACTGACATGGCAACCTCAGTGATTCACAATATCATTAAGATGAGAGAGACTTAAACTGGGAGATTTGTCATTCGGTGCTGACTATTGGAAAAACAGTGCTAACACTCGGCTCCTAATTAGCTCTCTAATAAGCGATAGGGTGCAACCTTATCAAAGTGGAATCATTTCAAGATAAACTGCATCAGGCACTCTGCTTTTCCGCACAAGATAAGATTATTCATGACAAATTGCACACTCTGAAGTGGCCTCATTGATTTCTGTCGTACCTGCCATTTTTATTGACTCCTCGTTGCCACAACTTCCCTGTTTTATAAATAGCTATATGCACTGGATTGATGTTAGGTGTCACTTCACCTCAGTGGCCTGAACATGCACTTTTCAAATAGAGTGTTTCTCCTCTTCCACGTGAATAGCTTAAGCATTTAATTACACTCAATGAGCTGTCAAAAAACAAATCCATAAAGGCATTAATAAGTTGTTACGATGAAAACATGAATAATTAAGTCATCACAAATAAAATGGCTAAACAATTTAGATCCAAGCTCCAGGCGTGCTGTAATGGGAAATAGGTTTTTTGATCACTTGTGGTGTAGAGTAGTTGCACAATGCATGTGAACAGGAATGTTTAAATAATCAAATCTTATTGTGCCCCGGGGCTTCACCATGGATTAAAAAAACATGCTAGGAAATTACAGAATAGTCAATACAAATACAAAATGTACACCTTGACAAAATAGTTTACTCATGTACGCCTTGTGTCCAGGTTATATGCATTAATAACTGATATTGAGCCGAACACACAGAGTCTAATTGCCGTTGGAATTTGGCATGGGTGTGAAATAATTTCTTCTATTCAATGTTTTAACACACACTCCTTGGTTCCATTATTTATTTATGAAAACACACAAAAAACTGGAAACCCTCAACCTCTAATTATGACATTACAACCTCTAAGACAAATAGCCTTCAATAGCATTACATAGGAAGTATTCTAAACTATAAACTGTGTGGTTGATTCTTACCAAAGACGGTCAGGTTGACTGTGTTCTCCCGGTTGCCCGCAGGGAAGGTGGTGTACTCGCAGATGTAGGCCGCCTCGTCGGACAGCTGCAGGTTGGAGAACACGATGGTGGTGTCTTCCAGCGAGGGGGTCCGGTGGCGTACGGCGGCCTGTTTGAAACTCACACGCTCCTTAAACGGCGGCAAGACAGACACTCCCAGGGCGGGGTTTGCAATGGCCACGTTGTGCTTGGTGCCGTTCACAACTTTCTGCCAGGTGACTTGCGAGATCTTGACCGGTGGGTTGCTGTTAATGAAAATGCAGCGCAGTTCCACCTGGGTGCCCACGAAGCCCGACTTGCTGGTGTCCATCTGTACCATCTGCGCGTGGACGGCTAGAAAAAAGAACACAGAGAGAGAGTGGGAGTCAATAACGAGAAATAGTAGAGTAAAAGAGTTGGAAAAGTTTCACGGCCATTTCAAAAGAATCCACTGAAAGTCAATTTTGCCCTGGAGTACAATGAACGGGCAGTCAACCTTATGGATTATGTGGCAATTTGAAACGCTACGAAACGGCAAGAACCTGTCTATAAAATATGCATCGGGAAAGACAGGATAAAGATTAATGATTTTTTTTTTCCTGGTAGTATTTGGAGAATAGACAGTATGTTTTCTAAATATCCTCCTTAATCCCAGAGAATCAATATTGTGTTGCGCGACAATTCTAAATGTAAACAATGGGTTCATGTCTTATTTGCGTGAGACACAGGGCAATTGCTATTAATGCCGAGGGCACACAGGCAACCTTTCCTTTCTCCACCTGGGTCTATCTGTAATACGAAGGGAGGGACGAACAACACATCCAATGCATCACTAATGAACCAATGAAGGCCGGCGTATGCAAAAGCACCCTCTTCAACCAGGCAACACATTACCACCCCCATCGTTATTTTAATTACTTTTTACTCTCAAATACCTCAATGACTGCCTGGAGCTTTTATTACGGAAACGTTGTGTAGAGGCCCATGTAAGCATTCTAAACACAGAGAATTCACATTAGCGCTACAGCAATTAAGCTTTTCATACTATTTGAGACGGTGAGGAGGGTAAAAGGTTAATTAGGGAGGGCAGCGCTTCATAAAGTCTATTAGTTAATGCACTACACTTAGCCAAATCTTGGGTCAGATGTTGATTTCACAAAGCCACACTTCCTGTTTCTTGTTCAGGGCAGAACTGCATGTATTCACTGGCCTAAGAGCCTATGATTATGCTAATGAGACTTCTGCACTTAAATATATAATGTATTTCACATGCACAATAAGGCCCCACTGTAGAAAATAATAGTACAATGCCTGTACAATTATAGCCTTTTGTATATTTTTTCAGCATTAAAGTCAAATGCTGGTAAGTATCAATCCCTGCCTGACAGCCAGCCTGCAGGCAAGTACAATAGAATGGAAATGATAAAGTCACAGTTAAATTTAGATTTTGGTCCCATGAGGGAAAGTGATTCGTCAAAGAATCCCATTTGTGAGGTGGAATTGAATCTATATTAACTATATCGGACAATTTTCACTTATGGTCGAAATTTACTGTAATCTTTGGAGGCCCTGAGAGGCAGAAGCTCTACACCCTATCTCATATTATTAAAGAATTATCCTTCCTGCTATAGTGGGAGTCTATGAAAGGTCTTGGTTCATTTTTCGATTTAGTATATTCTACATCTCAATATTGATCGGACACAATGTTATAAAAGTGCACACTCACTTTGTATTACAGCCGTAACGTCGCCACACAACTATAATTACAGTCTCCACTCAGCAATCAGCAGTATATATTTATGCAAAAATAGTCTAGTCTAGAATCATCCATATGTCCCAGATTCAGTGAAGAAAATTGCAAAACCAGTAAATTAAAATGGTTGGAGTGTCACAAAACGGGGGGGGGGGGGGGGGGGGGGGGGGATGGTGTCTCAGTTGTTGAGATGATAAATAATTCAAACATTGAGTATGTAAATGACAACATAACTTCGACATGGCCAAAAGTTGATGTTGAGCATGTTTTATTTATCATCTTTACCTGTGAGGGAGCTTCTCTATTTCCTGTGTTCGATTCTTCCGTTACGTGAGAAGGAACTAAACCAGTGTTGATCTGTTTAACGCTAGTGTACCTCACTGCAGCTCCACTATATTTAAGTCCATCATTATGTAAGACAAACACAATTTCACCCATGCGTCAGTGCATTGCTCGAGGGCGCTTGCATCCTGTTGTTTCTGCACCCAAGGCTTTGATTTATACTCTGTTCCAGGTGAACTCTGATGATGCCCCATTTCCTCGTCCTAAACCGAGCTGTATCCTTGTATTTACGGCTAGCCCAACGCTATAATTATCTCCTATGGATGGCGAAGGGGAACATTGGCCAGCAAGTTTCTCTGTTAATCACACCGGACTCGTAAAACCTAGTCATAAACACAACCAAACATACTGCAACCCAAAGTGGCGAGCTAGCCAGGCAAAAAAATACAATCCACCTCTTAAAAACGGAGTGAGTGCATCATGATGATAGATAATAGTCGTGTTTGGGAGATAAAGTTTCCGCAGGGGGCCGTAAAAATGTACGCCGGAGAACTGCGTTTATGAGTGCTGAATACAATATCTGATCGTGTCTATCTTCGCTTTTGCAAAGGAGTGAAGAGAGGGCGGCGCGTGCGAAAAGCCCGTCAATCTTTTCAAACAGTGGCAGCCATTCTGAAGCTTTGACTGGAGATAAAGTAGAGGACGGGAAGACAGAAGCAGCTCCACAATGGGTGTACATCGATCAGGCTTGACAATCAGAGAGCAGAGGGATTACTTCATATGGCCCGTTTCATAGGGGTCGAATTGCCGTGGCTGAATTAGTTGTTATGTTTTCAAAATGGCAGCAGTTGTAAAGGGTTCCCAGTTGAAGGTAATCAATATGCTGACAAAAAATGATGAAAGAATAAAAGTAAATGAGACTATCGATTGAAACAAGACAGTATCAACATGGTGTGGTGGTCTTGATCAATGTAAAACGTATGTGTACACTAAGTTAAGGCTAACACCACAAGAGATGTAATTACAGTTTATGCAATACAAAAATACCATCACCAAACTAGTTTCTGGATAAAACTGTTCAATTCTTTTCTATCTCAATTGTTGTTTTCGCATGCATGTATTTCTGGCTTCTGTTTAGACACAGAAGAAAAAAACAGAAGTCAAATAGTGACTTACATGGCTCTTTCTTATAATACAAAATATATACAGAATATACCATGTTTCTATGAATATAAAGAAAACCTGTTGAGGTCTGATTAGTTCACAACATTTTCTATTGACAATACTCTTCCTATTGGGGAAAAACAAAATGAAAAATTAAGGATGTAAAGTTAGTTACCCCAGCTTTAACTAACACCATTATGTCTGTTATTCCACACAGTGAGGAGATTTCAGTCTTTCAACACACAGTTAAAGTGCAGAAGGATTACTAGAAGCCCTCAAACACAAGATAAAGTGCTAAAATGTTTAGAAACTAACAAAAAAACAAGATACTTTCCTATATTTTTGAGAGCGATATATTGGACTATGCCGAGAGACACACCCCGTCAAACTGACTCACAACAAATATGGTATAAATAAAACAAGCCTTTGAAGTTATAGTCTTCGCAGCTCCTTCCATTTCCGTCAGATCGGTGGGACCCCCTCTGTGGACATTTAAACTTGAGGGATTTGGGACTGACAGATTGATTTACTAATGTAGTTTGACAGCAGCGAGTGGCAACCTTGTCATCTGCACCTAGAGAAACACCTGTGTCCTTGTGCAGCTGCAGCCTAGGCTTTACTCCATCTGATCACAGCTTAGATTACCACTTGTGCCACATACAGCGTGATATTTTTGAAAGAGCAACACAATTTACAGGGTGACAACATCAGTTAAACTTTAATCTGGACTTGGATGATGCCTGTATGTTGAGAGTGTGTGGGAGGGCGGTGGGAAAGGGTTTGAGTCAGCCAAAGTTCTCATAGAGATGTTTATTATGTTCGGTAACAAAAGATTATAATAGATTTTTTGCAAGCAGAACAATTGTGCAGAGATTGCTGCCAAGAGCTTGTTTACAATGCATTTCCAATGAAAGAATTCATCTTAATTTTACTTTTGAATTGGCAAAATATACTCGCTCACTTGTTGGTTTTTTGGAATGTGTTTTTCAGATATAAAAAGAATAAATATAGGCAACCATATAGGCAACAATATATTGCTACAGAGTTTTTTGCGATTCTCATATCACAAAAAAACAATAAAACAGGATTATTTCAGAAAACCATTGAAAGGCTATCAGCTGCAGCAACAATATAGCAGAACTGAGGAATACAACGGCGCTCAAATTTAAGAGAAAATAAAACAAGTTCACTATTTTTTACATACAAAAAATATTTAGTTCTCGAACTTTTTATTGAAAAAAAAAGTCAATATACAGAATTGGCCTTCTGGTGAACTATCAAAATGTCTTCTTAGGGTATAAATACACTCTGCAGTTAAAGCACATCCTGTCGGAGGTGTAGCGAGCCAAGTATTGACCTGCTAGTATTTCTTATTTTTATTTAAAATTACATTATTGATAAAATTTGTTGCAGGGTCGCAGGGCAGCAGTCTAAGAAGAGACGCTAAGAACGCTAAGACTTCCCTATATCCACACACACTTTCTCCAGCTCCTTTGGGGGAATCTCAAGACGTTCCCAGGCCAGCTGAAAGACATAGTCCCTCCAGCGTGTCCTGGGTCTTCCCCAGGGAGGCGTCCAGGTGGCATTCGAAACAGATGCCCAACGTGGAGAAGCAGCGGGTCTAATCTGAGCTCCTCTCATGTGACTGAGCTCTTCACCCTATCTCTTAAGGGAATGCCCAGCTACTCAAAGTGAGCAGACTGTTATATTTTAATACATATTTTACACAGAAGACATTACATTATGTGGAATTAAGTCAAATAGTATATGTTTTATGATTACTGAATCAAATATCCAACACTACAAGAATTCAAAATTACACTTGATTGAATGTTTAATTCGTATTCAGCTGTGCGGTTGATTTTATGATTTACAAAACGATTGAGACACTGTAGTCAGTATAACAATATTGCTATGACTATGTCTATATCTAAGGTTGCTGTAACTGGAAACGATCAAGGCCTAAATTGCCTAAAAGTCTCCACATATATAGTGCCCTGGTGAGTCTGTGAGAAAATGTCCGGCCCTTTCTTCGCCATAGCTTTACTCATACCGAACCACGTAAACACTATTGGGCAAATGGAAAGCAGAGCAATAGGCATAATTACATAGCCGCAAAGCCTCACTCCCAGCTCAAAAGG